GGAGGGAAGCGCAAGACTTAAGCAGTACCACTTATCAAAGCGCTGCTGCACCTGTTTTTATGTCAGCAGAGCAAATTCCTCACATTACGTGGGCACATCCGCATGCAACCGCCCGTGCATGTTTGCTGATGTGGGAGTGTGTCCTGTGCAAGCAGTCACGCATTGACCAAGGAGCCCAACACTTGTGAAGGTTAGATCACATATGATTGTAAAGGTCGATGAGTAAAAGGTCACATTGCATAATGTACCAAGCTGGTGACGCAACAGCCATAAAGGAGAACAGCAACACTTAACCATGGCTGCACCAGGCAGAAATGGTTCTATTTAGAACCAGAAATGGTTCCATCCCCCGCTTTATATATGGAACTCCAAAATGGTTCTATATAGAACCATTTTTTTGGTAAAAGGTTCTATTGGCCAAGTACGGAACCCCAGGGTTCTAAATAGAACCCAGAGGAACCCTTTTTTTAAGAGTGTACCTTTTAGGGGTTCCAAATACGTAGTGCTGATAGAACCTTTTAAGGTTCTATATAGAACCTTTTCTTCTAAGAGTGTAGATTCTCGTAATGATGGCGCGAGGACATCGTCACTTGGCAGAGAACTATGGCAACCTCCTTTGAGGAAATGGCCATCTGGAAAATTCAAAGGATTAATATAAAATGAATAACCTGTCACAGGTGTCAGCCTCTTTCTGCCCAAGTGATCTGGCATTTTACATTAAGATATTCACACATACCCACTTTTGTACAAAATTTGTACGCTACCCACAAAAAAGACAGTAAAAAAATATGCATACACACATTTATACAAATGAGTGTACATTAATGTGCATTACGATTACAATTCTGGAGAAAAAAAAACGAAAAATCAAGTAATCACACATTTGATTAACTGTTATTAACGAGTTTGAGAGTTGTTATTATTAAGGGTTGTTTATCTCTATCCCCTATAATCAATCAAATATGTTCTTGCTTTCCCTTGACATTTCTGATTATACCCCTGCAAAAACAGTTTATTTGCAACTAACTTGTAGTTCATTAAAGCACTTATAATATCAGAAGTAAATATCAGATATCAGAATATCAGGCTTTTTTTATCATATCAGAATTTATATTATTCATATCAATCATGAGTCTCTGATGAAGTAACGCAAAGTAGTTTCAGATTGTTTCAAGATATTAAAAGTGGTTCATAATTAGGGCTGTCAAATGATTAATTGCGATTAATCGCATCCAAACACATAATATATGTAGGTGTACTGTCTATAATTATTTCATATATACAAAAATACACACACATGCTTGTATATATTTAAGAAATAATTTCATGTATATACTGTATATAGATTTATATAATATATAAATAAATATTTTATATATAAATTATATGTTTTTCTTAAAATATATGTGTGTGTATTTATATAAAATAAAATAATTATACACACATTTTGGATGCGATTAATCGTTTGACAGCCCTAATTTAAATGCATCCTAAACTACTAACAAACTCAGAAAATAAAATCTTTTATAAACAGCTGGCCTCCTGAGGTATGATCCATGAATTTTGCTAAGTCACATCCTTAGAAAATGCAAGGGGGGGGGGGAGATACTATTTGCATTAAAACAGAGGGTTTAATGAAGCGCAGTGGTGCTAGTGGCAGGCGCTGAAACACAAACATACAATCTCTCACACACGCAGAGCCTCGCAATGGACGAGGTGTCCGCATTTACATTGTAAAGCTGGAGGACTCGGAGCGGGGGAAGGGGTCAGAGGGAGGGCTCGGTGAGCCTTGGCCCTGTTCTCTATTTTTGTTTCCAGCTTTTTTTGTGCGCCACACACTGCAGTGGATTTTTCAACTTGGCCCTCATCAGTTGTACGCCTGATGAAACAAACACTGACAGCTTCTTTACATTTGTAAAGGCCCCTACAGCAGCTGTGCCTATCTCACCACACGTCTATGAATCAGGGCCCGACCCCAGCTGGGCCTGCAGAGAGAGAGAGAGAGAGAGGGATAGGGAGAACGAGCGAGGAAGAATAGCCATGGGTAACCCCCCGTTCCCCCCGCACCATGTGCCATGTTCACTTCAACAGAACAGGAACACAAACGCGAGTTGTGGCTGCATTCATTAGCCAAAGTCTGAAATCAAAACCAGCGTAACTCTTCGCTCTAAAAACAGCCCTCAAAAAATAATTATACAGAGAAGTTGTTTCAGAGAGTGTGTCAGGATGGCCTGAAAGCCATTAAAAGGAGCTTGTCTGAAAGCAAAAGTGCTTACTTGCCCCCCTTCTGCTTTCCACATGCATCTATCAATCAGGGATGGTCTAATTGCATTTTCTTGTTTGCTCTTATTAACATCTATTATCATATTTTTTTTCTCCCTCTCTCGTTTTCCACTAAATGAATTTTAATAATATTCACAGCACATGAGGAGGAAAATAAGGTAATAAAAATTTAAAGAAGAAGAAAACAACACAACAAAAACCTTGCACTCATGTTCCAGGGGATATGGTTAAGCCAAGCATGTATAATTGTCTTACGCTAATTAAGGGGAGGCTGAATCCAAGGGGCCAAGAGTTGTGCAGGCCCGGGGGACAGATCCTTCAGGTTGTTTTTGTTGTTTGCCTGACCAGATTTTAGCACAGCTGCCTGCACTGCACAGATGTGACATGATCAGCCATGTTCTGAACGGTTCAGGTCCATTCCCACACATAGCCTATACACAGAGGCTCCTGACCCTGACCATGCATGTGGTCATTATGAGATGAAGCAGATCTCAGTCAGACATGCAACCAAACATAAACCAAGTGAACTTGCTAAAAATTAATTCTGACTTTGTTGACGGCGTCGGCAACAATACAAAAAGAGGGTCGGTGAACACATACAGTGTCCACACCCTTTTGACCAATGCATTTCTTTCACATTCCCAGTCACTTTTTTAAAAATAATTAATCAAAATAGAGAGCTCTAAACTGAAATGTTCAGCCAAATAAATATTCCCATTATTTAAGATGTTATTCACTTCCAAGTTATGTCCAGATTTAAATGACAGTGGGATCCCTATATACAATTTGTTTTTAAAATAAAAATTGGTCACAAACCAGACAACTAATAGAATACAAAACATGGCTGCATTATAACAGCCAACAATCCAAAGCTTAAGCTGACAATGTTTTGCCAATTTATACAAGGAAGGCTTTTTAAAATAATAGTAGTAGGCCTTCTACAGTGGGTTGAGCTGAATTATACTTCTCGAGAATAACAAGTCACCACGTGGTGTAATCGGCTACTTTTGTCATCACTTTCATTCCCCTTGTGCTACCACATTGAGATGTCAATATGAGACGTTGCACTACAGCTACACTGAACAAAAGTACACAAAGTTAGATAATTTCCATCACATTTATGGAAAGCGATAAGATGTCACGGAACTCGAGCACTGCCGATAATGTGCGTGGAAACTGCCCCCGTGTTGCGTCATCATAACCTATACCTTCCCGGTGTTTGTTTGTTTCATTCCTGTTAACCTGTTGCTGAAGAACTGAAATAACAAACAAAATATCACTAAAACATAAATGTAAGGCGCAACAAGATAACTCCCATGTAGCAATTCCGCTCGAGATGTGGCACTTTGACAAAAAAGTTCAATTTGAGGGCACGTGACAAGCCTACTTCAGGCTGCAGACAAAATTGGTTGCACGAGCTAACCCGTTCACGCTCCAGCGGGAAATTATTTCTCGACGTAGGCTTGATTTGAGAAGAAACTAAAGTAAGAAAGCGGGCAGTGAGAGATGTAACACACCAGTACCACAAACTCTGATAAAAAGAAACTTCTCAAAAAGCGCCTGGAAAACTCGGGTTAAGTCAGTCAGTACTGTGAGGGTTAACAAATACGGGGTTTGGTCGGCTGTCTCTGAGGAGACAAGGTTTTTTGTTATGGTAGCCTTACTTAATTCCGCTCCTGAGGAGATAAAATCCCCATCCAGAAAAGTTCAAGCCGTATATGTTCTCAATATAACACGACAAGCTCGCCGGTTCACTAACCCGTCGTAGGATACTGGTGGAGATAGTAAAATGGTCGGTTTCTTTTGCACGCGAACCTCTGCAATGCGACTGTATATATCTTTCGCTATTAAACGACATTCCATGCGCTTAATCTAATCAATTATGTACTATTACGATCTGTTAACATTCAATGTTTAATCTGCTCAAACAATAAAACGAAGAAACTCTCAGAGAAAGCAGACCAAAAAAAGAGAAGAGTTTCAGGAACAGTGCATAGGCTGCCCACAATACACAAGCTTGTTTACTAATTCGGCGTTTGTACTTACAATTGTAAGATTGAGGACAATCCACTATTCTGAATCTTAAATAAAATAACTACATCTACCACCAAGTTCGAGCTTTCTCAGTTGTCGAGTTCCCTAGACAGTTAAGTTAGCCTACTTCAAATACATTAAAGAGTCCACTGCTTACACGAAGAACTAGTTAAATCCAATAAATACACCGGGGTATAGTTGGCATAGTTGAATTTATGAGCGTGTTCCTGCAGATTTCAGTTCGGGAAAACAATTAAGTCTCGGGATAAAAGAAGGCGATGGTTGTCCTCGCGGCTTAGAGAAGGAAAGCAATGAAGAGCAAACAAAGCCATTCTAGTCACAATTGTGTTTTAACGCTGGAGTTTGTGTACCAACAACAACGCCAAACAAAACACATCCATGTTTATAAACGAGTTCTGTAAGATAACATCTGTCGTGCAAAACATAAGCATTCCCAATGAGGATACCAAGGCAAAAGCGATGAAAAATCGACGTCTGGGGAAAAATACCCTAACCCTTTTTAATATATTAAGTGTTGTGAACCAATTTACGCCTTGTTTTGAAGCCTAAACACAACAACAGCCATCCGTGATCAAAGTTTACACATTTAACATCGACACAAGCGCGAGACAATCAAACAAACTTAAGGTCAACCGCATGAAAACGATCAATAGCCTACTTACGTATTTCTTCTGAATGATATTCCTCTTAGGTCTTTCCTTGCTCATTCTGCAATCCAAAATGATTTACTGTTAAGGAGAGAATCGCCACATGAATTTTCTTCCTGCTTCTTTTCTTTTTCCCGGAGCAATGCGATTTAAATCCCCTGTAGTTTGCTTGGCCGTGCAGAATTCCCTCTTCGGTCGGTGAAGATTCCTAGTAGAATCGCGGAATTACCGATAATCCCAAAATTAGGGATCCATCGCCAATGGTAAAGGGCAAAATAAACAATCGCATCGGCATACCATAGTTAAAACCATTCGCCACAATAACTTCCATCAGTGATGTTCATCCCGGCTCTTTAAAATACGTAACGTTAGGGTTATTCACGTGAGGATGTAAATGTTCGGTGGTGAGTTACATCTTGTTTTTAAAAGGCTTATCCGATGATGGGATGAAATAAATACAATTTTAAAAAAGGAAAAGGGTTCGTGGTCCGTTTTGGCTGGATCTAGCAGACGGTAAGTGAACTCTCCAGCAGAACCACGGGCTCATCTGAACACAAGGCGAAGCTTCTTTCTTTAAGCAGCCTATCACACACACCCGACAGCACGCTCAGCGGTAACTTTAAAGGGACTGCCGCTTTAGGGATCGTCGCGAAATGACCCTTCGTGCAGGGGTACGGAAACGAACACCACTTCAAAGTCACCCTATAGAATAATGAGCGATTCAATCAACATGTGTTCAGTAGGGACAGGGAAGAGAGTTCAAATATTTTCCAACTCCGAGCGATTCAAGACAGCTGTAGATGTACGGTTTGTTTCGAAACGTTTTTGAATAGCTAGAAGAATTTTCACTGCGCCCCTTGTAAGATACTCATTTGGTCTCTAGAAATGTTTGTGTTCATCGTGGGGGGAAAAGAAGCACGCGGGCCGGGTTTTCCTCCACGTTAGGCCTGTTATCATATTTTAACAGTTTTTGCTAATTGTTACAGAATTGAGAGCAATATTTACCCACTAGATAACTACGCCCTAAACTAGAACCTATATTTTATTTTGCAACTTTACCACTTCATAATGATTTTGTAATTGCCCGACAAAGTCCTGTAAAGTCTTGTAATGATTTTGTAAATTATACTAAATTTTTCCCAAACAGTTTTGGCGAAGGCCTTTTAATTATTTATTTGATTGACTGTTTTAAATGTATTCTTCAAATACTCAAGCTAGATAGAAAGACAATAAAGCACACATTTTAAAGACTTACTGTTTTCAGTCATTGGTTCATACATTGAACAAGAAATACTAGACTTTAAGCAATAACAAACAAAACAAAAAAATATCCTGCGGTCATTTTTTTTGTGTGCAGATTTTTAAAGAAAACATTTATAGATGAAACATAGTTTTGGAGTCCTGTAATTTCATGTGTTTAGTTATTTCAATTAATTTAATTTGTGTTTTATATTTGCTCCCAGTTCCCATTGCCCTTTTGGCGTTCTTTCATTCTCTCAAAACGTCATTAACTGTTGCTCTTTACACTACTCTTTTGCTATACAATGTGCACACCATGAGCAAATCAATAAATAAGAATTTTAATGCACTTCTGTGACTAGTTGAAACATGTGTCACAGGTACACATGTAACTATAAGAACTTGGCTACAATCTTGTGGTCACAAACTGGAAAAAAAGGCTACATGCTTTTTAGTGTGCACTGGTTTTACAGACAGGGTTTAGATTAAACCAGGATTAGGCCTTAAGTAGCTTTTATAAACATGCCTTAGAAAAAAAAACATGACTGGTGTGGATCTTGAGACAAAACAATGACACTGACATATTTTAAGATCTTTCAGTGCAAGTTACTTTTAGTTAAAACTGCTCAAACACTCTGGGACTCATCTCTGTGAAACCAGGCAATAGTGTATTATACTAAAACACTTCTGGTAATTGGACAAAAGTGAAATGAATCTTTAGAAATGAGTCACTGAAGGACTGCAGAAGTGATTCACAAAAAACAAGTTTGTCACACCAAACGGAATATTCACATTTTTCGTCATCATGGGTGATGGTGGAATAACCCTTGTATGGGAACAAAAACAACATGACAGATGAAGAAAAAGTGCATAATGCAAGATATTAGCGTACAGCTGCCTTCCATGATGCCTGAATGTGTATTTATTTATTTAATAGCGTACATTAATTCAGCCCAATCTGTAGTAATCAAGCAGTTTATAGACAAACTTCTAATATAGGGTTCCTCTTGTTCCTCAATGTTGTCTTAACTTGTTATGGATAGAATATATCAGTTGGTGTAGCTTTATCATCCATATAGTAACATGAGACGCATGATTCATGCTTTAGATTTGTTTTACAAATCCTGCTGATCAAAGCCTCAACTTGCCGATGAATTGCATTAACAGGGATCATGGTGGATCAATACATAGTAATGAATAATGAATGAATTACTAATTAAATTTTAGCCTGGTTTTTCCACATATATCGCATTTCATCGCCTAGCCTCCCCCAAATTTGAATGGAGCACTTTTAATAGTGTTGGAAGCACTTATATATATATATATATTTTTTTTTTGACAGGCTACACATTGCCTTGAGGAGAGCTTCAGGAACGTTGCTCTGTGCACTTCAGAAGTAAGCCCGGAACATAGAAATATACAATACACCCACAATGAGGACAACTGTAATGTAAAAAGAAACAACTGTTTAGTCTTATACAACAGTTTAGTCATTATATTTAAATAAAAAGCACAAAAGTCACATAATTATATTTCCCCAATCATGAAATACACATTTTGGCAAATTTCTGTGCTTTTTTTTTTTAGCTGGTAAAGAAGGCGGTTAATTAAAAGGCATGAAAGATAATATTAGGCTACTAAATTGAGCACTGGCCCAGACAACTGTGATGTCTTCATTTTGATTCTCATGAGAATTTCAGATGTCTTTTAAAGAGAAACGAGTTATGGCTTGGGTAAACCATTAAAACGACTTTGTTTCAAGAAAACACATCACAGCAACTCCCTTTAAACCTTAGGAGCATTTGTAAGGAGCAAATGTTACCGTATCATGCCTACTATATAGTACCATATCTAAAAAGACCATTCAAGGATCAAGTGTACTCTGAAAGTGTAAGCTGTGAAGATAATTTTTTGATTTTTCTGCCCACCGTCTTTGTCACAGTATTGTTTTTGAACACCAATGTAATTTTCTTCCTCCTTTGTTGCTTGTTGTTTGCTGTGTTCTCTAGGGCTGCCCAGACTCTGTTGTGAGTGACATTTAAACCCAACTGAATCAATGAGACAGACTGCTTTGGGGCTCCCAGGTACTGCCTGCTACACACACACACACACACACACACACACTGTCACACCCAGCATTCTGGTTGCAGCACATTTCACTCTTTTTTTTTTTTGTCTTATCAAAAGTTGCCACTATGACACTGCACAGGCCTGTTAATCCAAAGCTTAAGCGTGGTGTTATTGCCTGTGTGCATGTTTACGGCGGCTGTAGCCACAGGGCTCAGTGAAGGACAAGCCAGCCATTGATTAAAGCTTTCAGTCTCGATAGAACTAATTGTACGGTGAGGCTGAGCAGACTGGCTAATTCAGGTTGATGTTCGCTGACCGGGAGCAGGGCGAATTACAGAGACTGAATCAAGATTGATTTATGAGCTAAGCATAAAATCTATATTCATGTTAAAAGATTAAATTGAAATAAATTGCGGCATAAATCAGGCTCACCTTGAAGCACAACTTTTTGTGTGGGGAAATATGTCATCAGTTTTGGTGGCTGTCTAATTAGATAATACATTTTGGTTTGGAAAATGTCATTATGCATGGCAAACTGTTGCTTTGAGGATACTAGGGATAAGGCATCCTTTGAGTAACTGCTCAACTCCTGTAGACTGCAAATGTAAAAACAATGGTGTAAGAAGCATGCAATGATGTAGTGCTGACACTGAACTCTCTCTACTTCTTTCATTAAAGTGGTGTGCACTGCCGAGACCAGTCAAGATCACAAACATGCTGGGTTGTTAGCACAGCTCACCGCCCCTGCACAGGGGACTCCAGTCCTAGTGTATGATAATTGGACACCTTGAATAAGATCATACCCTCTGGAAATATATTCACCTTGGGTAATTGCATCATCAAGTAAATGAAATGCAAACATTTGGAATCGTGAGCTAATGCTGTGCTGCAAAATAGATAAAGTGGAATACGAGTTGAAATGCGCAATATTAAATGCATTCATAAAACCATTGTTACTTTTTATCAGAAAAAAAGGAATTGTTTTAATTGATGTAATCCATCACCAAGTACTGATATGTAAATCACCATTTATAACTTAAAGGAACTGTACGTAAGATTGTGGCCAAAACTGGTACTGCAATCACTTTTTAAATTACTGTAGAGTGAAGTATCCCCTCCCCCCTGACTCGAGGTTGCCAAATAGGCTGCAAGATCCATCATATTTTTCTCAGTTTTCAGCTGTCTTCATCTTTTAAAGGCATCTCCTATACAAATCCTTGTTTTATTATGGACTTTGTCACGAACTAATTCAGAATCATAACGATTTTTTTTTTATTCGTAACGTTAGACATTTAAAAAAAAAAAATAAAATGACATGTAAACATGTGGTATGTGGTAATTACAGCAGAGCTGGCAACCTGGATGCTGCAACAGTACTGACTTTGTGATTGGTAGATAGGTGGAAGGTGGCGCATCAGAACAAAACATGACATGATAGAATCAACATCAGTTGAGGGCTGCAATTTCACTTTTTAAATGACAATATCCTGGCTGGACTACTGTTGTCAGCGATATAAGTTTTTGAAATGAACATGATTAATTAATGTCTAGTGATATATCAGGGCCATTTTATGATTATTAGAAGTACATTTCTTACATAAGGTTCCTTCAAATGCAGGATAATTTTGTCATGTGATCAGTATAGAGGGAGGAGTGTCATATATCTAATTTACAACAAGATCCTCTAGGAAGGATCTAGCTTGCACAGTTTTCAGTCTCCTGACTAGTAACTTGTGTAACTAGTAAAATAATAAGTTGTCTAAAGACACACACTTTGTTGTCTTTACATGCTGAAAGTGCAGAGTGATGCGGCAATCAGAGCATATTTGATGTTTAACATGTAATAATGATTTATTATATAACTATGAGGCTGCCCGGTACAACACTGCAGTAACAGAAACCAAACAACTGACAAAATAGAGTTAGATGGGTAGTTAAAACGAAACGTCAAATTAAATTAGGCATGAAATAAAAATTGACCCCATCTAGTTTTTGGTATTGATCGTTTTGTTCAGTTCAATTCAAATGTATTTGTATAGCACTTTTCACAATACATATTGTTTCAAAGCAGATTTACAGAAAGTGCACTTCAGAAATGTACAGTAAGTTAATCATGTATTATTTTAGGGCATAACATATCGCCGGCGTTGAGTCGTCTCTTCACAGGTGTAGAGTTGGCTCTTCACAGGCATTTGGTCGTCTCATCGAGAGAGCTCCATGAGAGGCTGGATACAAACTGGAGCTGACGAACGCTATTTACTAGCATCCCGAGATAACAGCAGAAAAAAAGATGGGAAATAGTTTACGCATTGATAGCATGCCTAGCACTGTAGGACCATGGTGCTTTAGTTTTCTCTCTAACCTTTTTTAATCTAACTGGGGCAACAATATATAACGTACTAGTGAAAATGGTGCACAAACTGCTGGTCATTTCCTCTAGTTCATCTGTTTGTTTGGGTTCACTGAGCAGCTGAGATAGATCAGGTAAGCTATTTGAGAATCTATCTATAGTGGTTGGAAGGATTGTTCTGCCTGGTCGATAACGTGGCACTACATGACAAATTTCAGCAGTATGTAGTAGTGCAAGTTACCATGTATCATGATGTTTCATCAGTGACAGCATCACTTTGCGCTATAATATCTAAAGCGATTGGATTGGTATATTATATAATTAAATCTAGTGTAGGATTTAGACGATGAGTTTGACCTCTGACATTTTGCTTGACCCGAAAGGGATTAAATAAATCTGTAAACACAGCCTTAACGCATCATGTATTGTAGACAATTGATCCTTTTAATATATATATTTTTTATTTTTAACCAAAATTGTGATTTCATTAAAATCTTCCGGGAAGATTTCCATCTTCCAGAAGTCCATTTTCCGGGAAAAATGGCAGTCTGGTGACATGACAGACTTCCATTGACTCAAAGCTCACATTAATTTTTCAAACTCAATAAAAATATATATTTGCTGCTAGTTGCTATTCTTCCATTTCATTGCGACTTTAACGTGGAAAAGATGTTTTTATAGCTTTATCTGCCAATAGCATGCTGTGAATTGACAAAAAATGATAATTTTTTGGCATGATTATAAAAAAAACAACTGATCATACCTTAATGACATTGGATTATTTTGCTTTTTTATTATTGTGCTTATTATAGTTTGAGGAATTTAATGGATATAGTTATTATTCTTGATGTGAACAGGTGAACTTGACTTACATTTGGTACTGAAACAGTGTTAATTTTAGGCCCTGTTTATCATGGCATGCCTGGTTTAGGATGAGGATGACGTTTTAATGCTTCATTACCGTCTGTGACCTTATAACTTTAGCAACTTAACCGAAGCCCCGCCAAATTATCTGTGCTTGATTAATGAACGGATTCCACCCACACAAGTAATGGGACCGGCTGTCTGTCAGGAAGCGTTTTGAGCCTGTAAAAGAGTGACTCATCTGGGTCAGATTGTCCTACAGGTGGGTGTTTGGGTGAATGGACCCCTCAGCTTTCCCACTCTGAGCCCGAGTCCTTTCATGGCCCTGGACACCTGCATCAGGCACAAAGGCCAGCTTGAGCTTTTGTTGGAGTTACTAGAGAGAGAGAGAGAGAGAGTAAGTTGGGGAAAGGAGAGAGAAGAAGGGGGTTGGGGTGTTTCTGACCTTAGCCACAAAGAAACAAAGTAACACAAATGGGCCATAGGCAGGCCACAGCTGGAGAGAAGAGTGATGGACACCAGTGTGGGTGGTCCAAGAGAGAGAGAGAGAGAGAGAGAAAGGTAAAGATACCACTAATGACTAGAACAGCCAAGAAAGCGCTTATAGTACAGTACCTGATGAAACCTTTTATAGGCTTCAGTACCAGAGCTCTTCAAGTCAAAATAAAGTCTGAGACGGTATGGTACATATCACATACTAAATTCAGTATGCTATAATGGGAAATTAGGTCAGTATAACACGCTTTCCATTGTGTGCAAAGTTGAAGCTGAAGTGTCATTTGTTTTGTGATGTTAGAATACTTCCTCATAACCCAGCTTAATATGGAGAGACCAAATGTAAATCATTTGTAGGTTGATTTCCCTAAAAAAAAAGTGCTATCCAAACATTGCCCTATTTGTTTGAGTGTCCCAACCATCCCAAAAAAAAATCAACATTGACTCAACCAATGTCATGACTTTATGGGGAGACTATCTGTTTTCCCCAACAATGGTAGGCGGAGAGAATATTGAGGAAAGCAGTATGAAAAATCCAGTGTGAGGTGTGTTATCTTTAGATTGACTGAATCTGCTCGAGAACATGTTGAATATTTATGATCAGAAATCCTGTAGTGTGGGGGAACCTCGATGACAAACACGTCAGGAGATCACGTGAAACGAAAAGTGAGCTAAAAGCAAGCCGACCATACAATATAAGCACCATTTCTTCTTGTCGTTCGTCCGCCATGTTTGTTTACTGTAAAGTAGGGCTGCACAATTAATCGAATTTGTAATCGCAATTACAATTATGATGCCACAATTATGTAATAATTAAAAAAAGTCCACTTATATTATTCAGTGTGCTTAAAATGTGTTTTTTTTTTATTTACAGCTTATCTTAAGGGTTTTTTCCCCATTGTTTTAATTTTAGTTAGTGTAACATTATAATTAGCATTAAAGCAACACTATCTAACATTGTTTACTTAAAATAATATTTCCAAAATCTTATCAGTGGTTCATCAAGTCGTAACAGGGTGAAAGGCACTCCTGCCGTCGCCTGACGGGGTCTGTATCACTTTTACTGGCACTATGTAACTTCAGGAACCCGACCACAAAAAGAACTACAAAATTCGACTGCTTTACATCAAGCACTACAATAGTCATTATTTCGTTTTTCTTCATTTCCGATGTCGCAATACATCATCCTTTCATGAATTCATGTAACATACTCTACCTTGACTGTGGACATCGTTCATTCTAAAGCCGGTGCTGGATAAACAGCGAGCGTGCGTGCGACGGTACGCTAAATTATTTACGACAGCG